ACTGAGCCAAACTGGTTAGCAACCTGGAACTTTCTTACCCAGCAATTCCACTTTTGGGAATATATCTGAAGAAACTCAAAACATTAGTTTGAAAGAATATATGCACCTCATGTATTCATTGCAGCATTATTTACAACTAGAGATCTGATGCACAAAATTTGTGCTAGAGTATGCCTTCCTTCCCCCGGCTGCCGGCATTGGCTTCCCTCTGGCACCAGGACCCTGGATTCCCTCTGGCAACCAGAACCCAGGCTTCCATCACAGCCCCAGTTTCATCCAGAAGGTCATCTGGAAGGACGTCTGAAAGGGCAACCAGTCTAATTAGCATATTACGCTTTTATTATTATAGATATCCAAGATTTGGAAACACCCCAAGTGTCCATCAGTAGATGAGTAGACAAAAAAGCTGTAGTACATTTACACAATGGAATACTACTCAGCCATAAAAAAGAAGGAAACCTTACCCTTTGGGACAGCATGGATGGATCAGGAGAGCATTATGCTAAGTGAAATAAGCCACTCAGAGAATTACAAGTACCATATAATTTCACTCATAAGTGGAATCTAATGAACAAAATAAGCTAACAAACAAAATAAAAACAGACTCACTGATAGAGAATAGAATGACAGCTGCCAGTGGAAAGTGGGGGTGTGGGGTGGGTGAAAAAGGTGAAGGTTTAAGGGGGGGAAAGGCATTATATGGATTTAAAATGGTGGCAGAGTAAATGGATGCTACACAGGCACTCTCCCAGGACCAAACTGGAATTAAAACTAAAATACAAAAAACACCCTGAATAATTAACTGCAGGCTAGCTGGAGAGAACTCTGGTAACCAAAGATAGAAAATGGAGACCACATAGAGACTGTTAGGAAGGGTGAAGGTCTGAACAGGCTGGAAGGACTCCCACAGACAGCAGCTGAGGGTCTGGAGAGCTATCGAAGCTGTGGGGGTTGCCACTGAGAACTCTGGGGTCTAATCCCCAAGCTGCCCCCCCCCACAGCAGAGAGCACCAGAACTGAGAAAGGTGCACACATAACATCTAGCTGTGAAAAACATGTTGGCCCATGGTGTGAGAGGCCCAATAAGAGACTGAGAATAACAAGTAGCCTTCAGGCAGAAGCAATTGTCCCACCCCATTGGAAAAACCTCTGGCCACACCTGTGGATGATTGCCTGAGGGCTACTCAAGACTGAATTCAATCAGTCTCCAGGCAGAGTGGTCTCTGGAGGCTTTGAGTCTTTGCCTGATGTAATTAGACAGAAACAGTGTTTCACACTGTCCTGCACTAGAGACTGAGAGATGTAGCAGATATACCTAATACATAGCCACAAACACAAACAGACATCAATAATGAGGAGACAAAGAAACAACCCACAAATGAAAAAAACAAGAGCATTCTCCAGAAGAGATAAATGAAACAGAGATAAGAAATTTATCTGATACAGAGTTCAGAATAATGATGGTAAAGATGCTCAACAGCATGAGAAAAGATATAACTATGAAAGCAGAAATAAAGAATGACATAGAACAAATAAAGGACACATTAGAAGGAATACACGGAAAATTAAGGGAAGCTGAGGATCCAATCAGTGAATTAGAAGACAGGGTTGAAAAAAATTACTCAATCAGAAAACCAAAAAGAAAGAAACAATTAAAAAACAGGAGGACAACTTAAGGGAGCTGGGAACAAAGTGAAACGTAACAATATTCAAATAGCAGGGGTGCCAGGAGAGGCAGAAAGGGAGAATGGGATAGAGAAAGTGTTTGAAGAAATAATGGCAGAAAATTTCCCTAACCTGGTAATGGAAAAAGTCACACAAGTTCAAGAGATACAGAGAACTCCAAGCAAAAAGAACCCAAACAGGCTCACGCCCAGAAACATCATAATTAAAATGCCAAAAATTAAAGACAGAGAATCTTAAAGGCAGCAAGAGAAAAGCAAACTGTTACCTACAAAAGAGCTTCCATAAGGCTGACACCTGATTACTCATCAGAAACTCTACAGGCCAGAAGTGAATGGCATGAAGTCCTCGAGGTAATGGAAAGCAGGGATCTGAAAACAGACGGCCAAATAAAGAGCTTCCCAGGGGGTGGGTGGCTAAAGGAGTACATCACCACCAAGCCTGTATTACAAGAAATGCTAAAGGGACTGCTGTAAAGGACACATATGTAATACCCTTTGTAATACTTTAAGCAATAAAAAGGAAAAATAAATAAACAAACAAACAAACAAATAAATAAAGGGACTGCTGTAATGAGAAGTAGAAATAGAGAGGGAAACCTAGGCATACAGAATTAAAATAGCAATAAATAAGTACCTCTCAATAATAACCCTAAATGTAAATGGATTAAATGCTCCAATCAAAAGACAAAGGGTAGCTGAATGGATATGAAAACATGACCCAACTATATGCTGTTTACAAGAGACCCACCTGAGAACAAAAGACTCACACAGGATGAGAGTAAAGAGATGGAAAAAAATTTTCCATGCAAATAGAAAAGAAAAAAAAGGCTGGGGTAGCAATATGCAAATCTGACAACGTAGACTTCAAAATGAAGGCCATCACAAGAGACAACAAAGGTCACATAACACTAAAGGGGTCAATCCAACAAGAGGATATAATCCTGGTAAACATATATGCACCCAATATAGGAGCACCTAAATACTTCTTTTTATTATTTATTTTATTTTTTTTAATATATTTTATTGATTTTTCACAGAGAGGAAGGGAAAGAGTTAGAGAGTTAGAAACATCGATGAGAGAGGAACATTGATCAGCTGCCTCCTGCACACCTCCCACTGGGGATGTGCCCACAACCAAGGTACATGCCCCTGGCTGGAATCGAACCCAGGACCTTCCAGTCCGCAGGCCGACACTCCATCCACTGAGCCAAACCAGTCAGGGTCTAAATACTTCTTTTTTTTAAAAAAAAATGTATTTTTATTGATTTCAGAGAGAGGAAGGGAGAGGGAGAAACATGAATGATGAGAGAGAATCATTCATCGGTTGCCTCCTGCATGTCCGTACTGGGGATCGAGCCCGCAATGCAGGCATGTGCCCTTGATCTGAATTAAACCTTGGACCCTTCACTCTGCAGGTGGACCTAGAAGCACCTAAATATATAAAAAAAACTTCTAGAGAACTTTAAGGGAGAGATCGACAATAATACAGTCATAATAGGGGCTTTAACACCCCCACTGACTTCACTGGGTAGATCTTCCAGACAAAAATTAAGTAACAGTGACTCTAAAGGACACACTGGATCAGATGGATTTAACTGACATTTATAGAACACCAGGGGCCCAGTACACAAATTTGTGCACCTTGAAAGGAACTGTGGGCTGCTAGGCTGCAGTGGGCACAGGGGTAGGTCTCAGCCTATCCTCCGCACCCCCGCCTGGTCCTTCCTGCTGTGGTCCCCAGTCCCGTCTGCCGACAGCCCTGCTCCCACCGCCACCACTCCCATATGTTGACGGTGCCGGCTCCACTCACACCCACTGACAGCGCGGAGCAATTGGGGCCAGTGTCAACAGTGGGTGTGAGTGGGGCCAGCGCTGTCAGCGGGTGTGAGCGGCAGCTGCTGCTCCAATCACCCCTCAGGAGCAGCGGGAGGTCGAGAAGATCTGAGGGGCAACTGGGGCCGGCAGCCATCATTTGCACCTGTTGACAGTGCTGAGTGATCGGGGCGGGTGCCAGGTGCAAGCAGCAGGTGCGAGTGGTGGATCTGGTGCCAGCAGCAGGTGCAAGCGCCAGGCGAGTCCATGGCATGTGGGAGCAAAGAATTTTCAGTAACCACAAGAGGCTCACCCCGATGACAGCAACCGGCGCCCCACCTTAGTCTGGCGCTCCCACTCACCTGCTCCATTATCCTGCCACTGCCGATGCCCGCCATGTTCCGCACTCTGGTGCCTGCTGCTGATGCCTGCCATGTCCCGCGTGCACCCCCTGGTCGTAGCGCACATCATAGCAACCGGTTGTTCAGTTGTTCCACCATTCAGTCTATTTGCATATTATGGTCTTATATGTATAGATTTCACCCCAAAGCTGCAGAATATACATTCTTCTCAAGTGCACATGCGTCATTCATAAAGATAGACCATATGTTAAGACACAAAACAAGTCCCTACAAGTTCCAGAAGACTGAAATCATATCAAACATCTCAGATCACAGTGGAATGAAATTAGAAATCAACTACAGTAAAAACACCCCAAAACATTCAAACACATGGAAGCTAAATAGCGTGTTATTAAACAACTAGTGGCCTGGTGCATGAATCTGTGCACATTGAAAGAAAATTAATTAGAAGAAATATTTTAATATAGCTATTTGCCCTTTCTCTATAATAGAAGTGTCCGAGAGGAAATAAAATTAGTAAAATGTATAGGAAAATAATATACAAATTGATTAATAATCATGATGCCAGCTTCTTTCAGCTTCAGAGGTACGTTGTGCCAATAGTTGGTCTTCAGACATATTCTGTCAATGACAGTGCTTTCTTTCAGCTTCAGAATGTCAACAAAAACAACCATATTCACGATTGACAATGACAGATTGAAACACAAGCATGCGATTGGCACCAGCGAGAGCTTTATATGTATCATGCATGTGCGATTCAACGTTTATTTATTTATTTATTTATTTATTTATTTTACTTCAGATATTTTTTATTTCTTCAAATTTGTTGTTTATCAGGAGTGATTGAAATAAAAAATATAATTGAGTCTCGTCATCATCATGGAAATGGCTTTAAGAGAACACTGGTCAGATGAATATTATTGCTTCCCATTTTCAACCAGTAATAGTTGCCACTGATAAAACAGACAACCAACTCTGTCAAGAATGCTCAAGATATGTTACTTAATACAACATGCCTGTTCATGGGGGCTGGAAGAGGGAAGACTAGGAAATAATTTATGTGAACTTCTTGATTTCATCATAGAAGACAAGCACAAAAGCACCACCCATGCCTCTGAGAACATTGGACCATGCACCCTTGAAAAAAGCTCCTTCATCACGAGCAGTTGAGTGCGCCTGTGTACATGATATCAGTTCCTTTGCCCCCTGACTGCATCATCATGCGGCAACAAACAGTGTCAAATGGATAGGAAGTCAACCCAGCCACCGCTGTGACGGACTGTGCGATCATCCAGCTGATGAAGATGTGAGTATTCTTGGGATCTGGAAGCATTCCCTTTGCAGTGTCATAGACACCGAAGTAGGCAGCTTGGTAGATGATAATACCCTGTATTGACACATTAAAGCATTGGTATAGGCCTCTAAGCCCATCAGATTTGTAGATCTTAACCAGGCAGTCACCGAGGCCTTTGAATTCCCTTTCAGCTCCAGCTTTGCCCACATCAGCTGCTAGATAGGTACGGGCAAAATCAAGAGGATACACAAAACACAAGTAGGTGGCCCCAGCAGCACCACCTGATGCCAGATTCTCTGCAAAGCATCGCCAAAACTGGGCTTTGTCCACACCACCCAGGAAGATCTGCTTGTATTTATCTTTGAAGGCAAAGTTGAGAGCCTGGGTAGGGAAGTACCTGATGACACTGGCCAGGTTACCACGCCAGAAGGACAGGACTCCCTGCTCCTTGGGGAAACAAACCACGCAGTCTATAATGCCCTTGTATTGCTTATCTGCAGTGATTTGCTTGCTGGCATGCTGCACCTGCAGCAGCAGCTTGACCCGCTCGATGGGTGCTGCCGCTGTCTTGGAGATGGCTGCAGCCACTCCACCTGCCAGGAAGTCCTTGGCAAAGGACACAGCGGCATCTGTCATGTTGAAAAGAAGAAGCGGGTGACTGCTGGCCTGGGACCGTAACTGGCTGAACTCCGGGGCACTCTCAACGTTTATTTTTAAATTGCCAGTGCGTGTCATATGTACCAGCTGGTCGGTTGGCCGGATGGATGTATGGTTGGTCACTTAGCCTTTTATATATATAGATGAATGGTTACCAATGAGATCAAGAACGATATCAAAAACTTCCTGGAAACAATTGAAAATGAACAGACAACAACCCAAAACCTCTTGGGACACAGCAAAAGCAATCCTGAGAGAGAAGTTCATAGCACAACAGACCTACCTCAAAAAAAAAAAAAAACAACAACCAAGAAAAATTAATAATAAACTATTTAACCCTAAAACTTAAAGAATTATAGAGAGAACAAGAAAAACTCAGAGTAACTAGAAGGAAATAAATAGTAAAGATTAGAGTAGAAATAAATGACATAGAGACTAAAAAACTATTGAAAAAAAATCAATGAAACCAAAAGCTAGTTCTTTGAAAAGATAAACAAGATTGATGAACCATTAGCTAGACTCATGAAGAAACAAAGAGAGAGGATTCAAATAAATAAATTCAGAAATGAAAGCAGAGAGGTAACCACTGACACCACAGAAATACAACGAATTGTAAGAAAATACTATGAACAACTATACACCAACAAGCTGGACAATGTCGATGAAATGGACAAATTCCTAGAAAAACCCTGTCTCCCAAAACTGAATCAGGAAGAATCAGAAAATCTGAACACGCCAGTAACAACTGAGAAAATAGAAGCAGTAAAAAAAACAAAAAACAAAAAACAAAAACCTCCCAGCAAACAAAAGCCCAGGTCCCAATGGCTTCACAGGGGAGTTTTACCAAACATTCAAAGAAGAAATAACACCATACTCCTCAAACTATTCCAAAAAATCCAAGAGAAAAAAACATTTCCAAGCTTCTTTTATGAGGCCAGCATTAATCCTAATTCCAAAACCAGGCCAATAACAGGCCAGTATCCCTGATGAATATAGATGCTGAAATCTTCAAAAAATATTAGCAAATCGGATCCAACAATATATTAAAAAGATCATACACCATGACCAAGTGGGATTTATTCTGGGGGTGTAAGGCTGGTACAATATTCACAAATCAATAAATGTGATATATCGAGAACCAAGATGGCGGCATAGGATAACGCCAGAGTTTGCTGCTTTAAACAACTACTTCAAAAGTGAAACCAAAAAACGGAAGGGACATCACCCAGAACCACAGGAACGCTGGCTGAGTGGAAGTCCTACAACTAGGAGGAAAGAGAAACGCATACGGACACTCAGAGGAGGCACAGTGCTGAAGTCAAATTCTGAGGTGCGGAGTGCGCGGAGCGGGCTGGCGGCAGAGGGCGCGGTTGGCGTTTTCAATCAGGAGGGAGTCGCAGACTCTGAGCTCCAGATCCGGGCGAGTCTTTAGGGACCCAGACTCAAACGGGAGAAGCGGGACTGTCTGGCTTCGGTCAGAGCGAGTGCAGCTTTCTCTCTGAGCTTTGCAGTGGGTGCTGGGACTCAGAGAGGCAGAGCCCCTGGGGACAGGACTGAGAGCCGCCATAACTGCTCTCTCCCGCCCACTCTGTTGATCCTGTGCGACCCGCCCTGCCCAAACCCTGCACGGAGGCATTTGCCGGATAGCCTCAGGCAAAGGCTAGATTAGCACCTCCCTAGAGGACAGAAGTTCTCTCACTGCTGACACAGCTGATTCTCATAGCCACTTGGCCTGGAGGTCAAACCCTCCCTGGAATTAGCTACAACAATCAAGATTTAACTATAAGACTGCGAACAAAGACCACTAGGGGGTGCACCAAGGAAGCATAACAAAATGCGGAGACAAAAAAACAGGACAAAATTGTCAATGGAAGATATAGAGTTCAGAACCAAACTTTTAAGGTCTCTCAAGAACTGTTTAGAAGCCGCCGATAAATGTAGTGAGATCCTCAAGAAATCTAATGAGACCCTCGATGTTATGATAAAGAACCAACTAGAAATTAAGCATACACGGACTGAAATAACGAATATTATACAGACTCCCAACAGCAGACCAGAGGAGCGCAAGGATCAAGTCAATGATTTGAAATGCGAGGAAGCAAAAAACACCCAACCGGAAAAGCAAAATGAAAAAAGAATCCAAAAATGTGAGGATAGTGTAAGGAGCCTCTGGGACAGCTTCAAGCGTACCAACATCAGAATTATAGGGGTGCCAGAAGATGAGAGAGAGCAAGATATTGAAAACCTATTTGAAGAAATAATGACAGAAAACTTCCCCCACCTGGTGAAAGAAATGGACTTACAGGTCCAAGAAGCGCGGAGAACCCCAAACAAAAGGAATCCAAAGAGGACCACACCAAGACACATCATAATTAAAATGCCAAGAGCAAAAGATAAAGAGAGAATCTTAAAAACAGCAAGAGAAAGAAACTCAGTTACCTACAAGGGAATACCCATACGACTGTCAGCTGATTTCTCAACAGAAACTTTGCAGGCCAGAAGGGAGTGGCAAGAAATATTCAAAGTGATGAATACCAAGAACCTACAACCCAGATTACTTTATCCAGCAAAGCTATCATTCAGAATTGAAGGTCAGATAAAGAGCTTCACAGATAAGGAAAAGCTAAAGGAGTTCATCACCACCAAACCAGGATTATATGAAATGCTGAAAGGTATCCTTTAAGAAGAGGAAGAGGAAGAAAAAGGTAAAGATACAAATTATGAACAACAAATATGCATCTATCAACAAGTGAATCTAAGAATCAAGTGAATAAATAATCTGATGAACAGAATGAACTGGTGATTATAATAGAATCAGGGACATAGAAAGGGAATGGACTGACTATTCCTGGGGGGGAAAGGGGTGTGGGAGATGCGGGAAGAGACTGGACAAAAATCGTGCACCTATGGATGAGGACAGTGGGTGGGGAGTGAGGGCGGAGGGTGGGGCAGGAACTGGGAGGAGGGGAGTTATGGGGGAAAAAAAAAGAGGAACAAATGTAATAATCTGAACAATAAAGATTTAATTAAAAAAAAAAGATTAAATAAAAAAAAAACCTGTTATTTCAAAAAAAATAAAAAATAAATAAATAAATGTGATATATCACATAAACAAACTGAGGGACAAAAATCACATGATCCTATCAATAGATGCATAAAAATCATTCAACAAAATCCAACACCCATTTTTAAAAATCTGTATCTTTTTCTCTTTCTTTACTGAGTTCTTTTTTTTTCTTTTTTAAATAATTCTTTATTATTGAAAGTATTCTTCTATCTCATTTTTCAACATCCTGTAGTTTTCTGAGTACAGGTTTTTTGCCTTTTTGGTTAATTTTATTCTTAAGAATCTTAATTTTTTGTTGAAATGCTAAATGGAATTGTCTGTTTAGTTTCTCTTTCTGAGAATTCATTATCCTATATAATAAAGAGCTAATATGCTAATTAGACCAAAGAGCTGAACGACCTTCTAGACATCCTTCTGGATGACTGTCTGGACAACATTCCAGACGAAGCCAGGGCTGCAAGGGCCGGCTGAGGCTGCAAGGGGCTGCGAGGGCCGGCCAAGGCAGCCAGGACTGTGAGGGCTGGCTGAGGCAGCCGGGGCCAAGCCCCTTGCACAAATTTCATGCATTGGGCCTCCAGTTGGTATATAAAAAGCCATCGATTTTTGGGTGTTAATTTTGTATCCTATTACATTGCCAAATTCATTTATTAAATCTGGTAATTTTTGATGGAGACTTTAGGGTTTTCTATGTACAATATCATGTCATCTGTGAACAATGAGTTTTACTTCCTCCTTTCCAATTTGGATGCCTTTTATTTCTTCTTCCTGTCTGATCACTGTGGCTAGGACTTCCAGCACTATGTTGAATAAGAGTGGTGAAAGCGGACATCCCTGTCTTGTTCCTGTTCTTAGGGGAAATGATTTTAGTTTTTGTCCATTGAGTGTGATGTTCACTGTAGGTTTGTCATATATGGCCTTTATCTTGTTGAGATATGCTCCCTCCATTCCCACTTTGCTGAGAGTTTTTATCAGAAATGGGTGCTGGATTTTGTCAAATGCTTTTTATGCATCTATTGATATGATCATGTGATTTTTGTCTTTCAGTTTGTTTACGTGATGAATCACATTTATTGATTTGTGAATATTGTACCAGCCTTGCTTCCTGGGAATAAAACACACTTGGTCTTGGTGTATGGTCTTTTCAATATATTGGTGGATCCAATTTGCTAATATTTTGTTGAAGATTTTAGCATCTATGTTCATCAGGGATATTGGCCTGTAATTCTCTTTCTTTGTAATGTCTTTATCTGGTTTTGGAATTAGGATAATGCTGGCCTCATAAAAAGAGTTTGTAAGTGTTCCTTTTTCTTGTATTTTTTGGAATAGTTTGAGGAGTATAGGTGTTACTTCTTTGAATGTTTGGTAAAATTCCCTGTGGAGCCATCCACACCTGGGCTTTTGTTTGCTGAGGGTTTTTTATTACTGCTTCTATTTCATCAGTTGTTAATGGCCTATTCGGGTTTTCTGATCTTCCTGATTCCGTTTTGGAGACAGGGTTTTTCTAGGAATTTGTCCATTTCTTTGATATTGTCCAGCTTGTTGGCATATAGTTGTTCACAGTACTTTCTTATAATCCTTTGTATTTCGGTGGTGTCAGTGATTACTTCTCTGCTTTCGTTTCTGATTTTATTTATTTGGATCCTTTCTCTTTGTTTCTTGATGAATCTAGCTAACAGTTCATCAATTTTGTTTATCCTTTCAAAGAACCAGCTTTTGGTTTCATTGATTTTTTGTATTTCTTTTAGTCTTTATGCCATTTATTTCTACTCTAATCTTTATTATTTCCTTCCATCTACTTACTCTGGGCTTTTGTTGCTGTTCTCATTCTAATTCTTTAAGTTGTAGGGTTAGTTTATTGTTGATTTTTCTTTCTTTTTTTTTTTCAGGTAGGCCTGTAATGATATGAACTTACCTCTCAGGACAGCTTTTGCTGTGTTCC